GGCTCTCAACCGGCCATCGCAAGCCCCGGCAAGGCGTAATATATATACAAACATCTCCAACCCGATATATAATATAGCTACAACCAACAGACTGCCGAAAATCTATCGGGCTAGTTTTATGCTAATTATTAAATAAATTACGTAATCAATTTGGTACTAGAGGTAAGCGTTAGGCGCCATCTCTTATTAATATTAATAATTATAAATAATTTTAATTAATTTAAATAATTTGGAACCGCTGGGAGAAAAAATCGGCCCGGAGCGGGACTCGAACCCACAACTCCTGCTTACCGTGCAGATGCGTTGCCAGTTACGCTACCCGGACCTCCGATCCGATCTCCTCTTCCAGCGTATATAATGCGTATTACTGTATATAGTTGTATTTAGAGGCAATAGATGGCAACTACATATGACTTCAGGCAGGTGACATGGACCACAGGCCAGTGCAGAAGGGACAGACAGTGGCAACGAAGACAGAGCAGGAAGCATGAGAGGAGAGTGACCTAAGGAAGGTGTTCGTGAGCGCGCATTAAATTTTTTTTTGTGCGATAGCCTCCATTTTGACCGTAGTGTCACGTGACTGGAAATGATGTAAGCAAATTTTCAGGGGCTTATATCTTGGGAAGAGTCGCGTGTAGGGGTTGATTCATTAGACATTTATTGTTCGCATAAGGGGCTACCCTTTGCAGGTGGCGACCCTCTCATTCAGAGGGTAAATCTTACCCTTTTACATAATTGTTTAGGTAGATATGAATGCACAGCGTTTATCCAAAAGTAATTCCTACTTGTTATTCTATAAAAGTTACAATCAATTTGTGTATACAAGGTGCATAGTTGTCCTTATACACTGCATGTGTATAAGGACTATCAGTACCGGCCCGAGGCAAGTTTTAGGATGGAACAAGATCCTATTATGGCACCCCCTTGGTTGTCCCTAATCTATACCCTTTAATTTTCTTTACTACTTAGGCACCCCCTAGGACTTAGCGCCTGGAACGGCTGCTCCGTTCACCCTAAGGTAGGGCTGGCTCTGAGAACTACTATGCGACATACAACATATGATACAGTAATGAGTGTAGCTTGAAGACAGGAAAATGAGATATATACATGTTATAAATGCATGAGAAATGAATGAGATCACATGTATGAACATGTGAGAAATACACATTTTACAATATTGGCTTGATATGCACATTAACATTCCAAGTTTTCTATCCATGGTATTCGTGTATGCAAGATGCCCCTTCGTACTAATTTAAATCGGTCGTGCTCTACAACTTTGTAATTGTAATTAACTTTTTTCTGTATTGTGCATAATTTTTGAGATAGAACTGCTAACTTCAGAATTTTACCACTAGGGGTGCTGCAAACAGTTACATCTTGTAGCGCATAGTCACTTTACCATGAATTTATGTTCACGACTAGCTGTTTATGTTTGTCAGTTCTGTGGGTGTATAAGACCTTTACTTTGTATCCTGTATATAATAAATATGCAGTATATACAAATTTATACTTTGTGACAGTAAAACCACACAAGAAATGCTATAGTTTTTTACTTGGCTGCCTGGTCACATAGGAATCCAAGGAAATGAAACAGTTGACAAACTCACAAAACAAACAAACTGTAATCAGGCAAGAATGTTTTGACCATAGCCATAGATTTATACAGCCATAAAAACAAATACATGTATGACAATGGCAAGAGGAGTAGGACAAGCAGCTAAATAACAAACTACACACTATGAAACCAGACTTAACAAAATGGACAATTAGCCAGCAGAAAAATTGAAAAGAAGAAATTGTACTTGCTTGACTGAAGAGTGGTCACATGTGACTCAAACAGCTGTCTGATAATGAAGAATATCCAAATTTACAATTAATATGCTCACCTTCTCATACTCCACTTATGGTTCAACACATACTACTAACCTGTCCCCAATATAAAACAAGCAGAGATTATTTCCAACAATAAATATTCCTTGGTGACAACAAAGTTCTTTGTATGTTACTAGCTGACAATGGACAAATTTAATCTATTATGGCCTATCTTCAAGCAAAAAACCTATATTTTGAGCTCTAAATGGAATATACAATAGAAAGATTTATGGATTCTTAAAACAACCAAAAGAATATTCAAATACCCAAATGCCTAGACCTGGTACTTTTTGGCTTACTAAGACCCTTGTACCATACATCCCAAACCTAACCAACCATCCAACAAATTTATACCCAAATGATGTGTATAATAAATACCTAAATTTAATTTTTACCAATAAATTATTTTAGGAAACCAAATGCTGTAAATCTTCCTCCAAAAGAAGTTCAAGAAATTCCACGTAAATTACGTGAGTTGATTAGACTGAAGAATCTTGTGAAAGAAAACAAGATAAAAAAGAAGAGAAAGAAAAAGAAAAAGGGAGACTACATAACTGGTTAGATATGCATCATATTTCCTTAAAAAATTTAGCACTAATATTATTCTAGCTATAACTGGATATAACATTTGTTAAGCTTTTGCTAGTAAATAAATTTATTTGAAAATATATATAACTGTGTATAAAGAAAGTAAAAAAAGAAGAAAAATGTAACAGTTGTTGCATTTTTCTTTCAAAATGAATGCTACCATTTTAAAATATTACAATTATGTCAGTCATTATCCAAGAAGTATGCAATGTATGCCAATCAATAGAATACAGTCAACCCCCCCTATAATGCGGTAGATACGTTCCACTTTATAAGAATTTCGTGTTGTAGGAATCCTTAAATACATAAGCCAATCACAGCTTGGCACATATGCAGTTTACGGACTACGGCTGTTTGAAAGGTTTTCTTCCATAAAATTAATCAATTCTAGACTAATTTGACTCAGCATTTCCAAATCAAGTATAATTTCTTGGGAATAATCCATATAAACTATGCTATAAACAAAAAATTGTTGGATTACTTACCGAGTGTGCATCGTTTGACGATGCCGTTGCTTAAACTTGTTTTTGTCATGAAGCGGCTCATTGAACGGGGGGGGCACGTGTTTCCTGATAAATTACAGTGGTACCTTGGTATACGTCTGCTTTAGAATACATCTAATTCGGAATACGTCCTGTTTGCACGAAACAAATTTTGCTCAGTATACAACTTTTGTTTGGTATACGACTTAATTCAATTATACGCGCCATCTATGAACAAGTAGCACTATCGGTGTACTAGGCCAGACTAGACGTTCGCAGTGCCACAGTTTATAACTTTGTTAAATCTCTTCTGATTTTAATTTGTAAGTAAAATTTTATTATTTTTATTAATCATGAATTGCAAAAAGGCAAGTGAAAAGCTACAGAAAACTATAAAAAAAAATGACTAGAATCACAATGGAACTGAAAAAAGAAGACTATTGAGAAATATGAAGATGGTACAAGTGTTCGAGATTTAACTGTTACATACCGTATTCCAAGAACGACAATATTGACAATTGCGAAAAATAAAGACATTATTAAATCTGCTAACATTGCAAAAGGGGTTAAATCAATTTCTAAACAGAGATCAAAGACATTAGATCATTTTGAGAAATTGCTTTTGCTTTGGATAACTGAAAAACAGTGTGCTGGCGACATCGTCTCGGAAGAAATTATTTGCGAGAAAGCTAAAAAGATACATGCTGATCTCATGAAAAATCAAGCAGGAACTATCCAGGAAAGTGAGGTGTTTAAAGCTAGCCATTTTTTTACATGAGAACGGATTAATCAATTTTACATTACTTCTTATGGGAAAGGTTGGTTTGGTATACATCCAATTTGGTATAAGTCCAAACATCAGGAATGGATTAAGGTCGTATACCAAGGTTGCACTGTATTTTTATGTGAAAAATTTGCTGAACTTTGGAGACATCATTAATATAAATATAATTTTTATGGTCGTTAAATAATAAATGGTTTTTAGTAGGTTTGCTGCTCATTTATACTCAACGGTTTGTGCAATATTCGTTATTGGTCTAGATTCGACCAATCCTGTCGCAACACGAGTCGGCAATGACGTTTTACCGCATTTTACGAGTCTCTTTTAGCGTCTTTATACGAATACGGTCGCAATTTTTTCGCCACGATATACGAATCCATGTTATATGAACCCGTGTTATAGGGGGGTCTACTTTAACTGTCTAAGTTTCATGTCTTGCATTCAAATGCCTTGTTGTCTACTACCACTAGGAAGCACTGTAAATGAAAATGGCAAATCTGCAACAGAGAAGGCATTTTGTGTTCTGCAGTTCACAAAGTCAAAATCACTCATCATTGTGCAATGTGAGTTTTGCAGACAATTTTAAAGTGATATACCCACAATATATTTATTATGACCTAAACAACTTTTACAAAAAATTATTTTAGGAAAACAAATGCTGTAAATCTTTTTTTCAGTTGATCCACCATGCAAGACAAACTTCTTTGATAATATGGACAATTCCAGGAGAACGTAAAATGATTCAAAGTTTACAAACTGAAAAACACAAAATGCCTTCTCTGTTGCAGAGTTATTGTTTTTGTTTATAGTGTTTCCTAGAGGCAATAAACAACAGAATGCTTGAATGCAAACTGTGAGATGAAATTTGGAGAGTTACTGTATCAATTGGTGTATATCATATACTCCTCAAGTAATAATTAACATAATTACAGTAATTTAAAATTATAGAATACATTTTGGAAGACCCTGTATAGAGTGACAACATGCACCAAAAATTGTAAATAAAATAAATATTACTGTCTTTTGTTGCTAAATTTAAAGATATAACAATTACAATGAAAGAAATTAACAAAAAAAAATTACAAGCACATTCCATACATAACCTATCTTATTCATGTAAAAGTAGAACAAATATTCCATGTTTATCTAAAGATATTTCATATATGAGTGATTTGATTTTTTTTAGTAATATTAGTATAATATATTCAAAATAAGATATATTTACATTTTCAAATTTGAAGAGCAAGTCTTCATAAGAACAAATTTAATATCAGTATAAATTAAAATAACATTATAAATATGTAGCTTCTGTACTCAATTGCTTCTTGTTCTCTCTATTTAGTTCCTCGAAAGTAAGCACAGAATTGCTATGGAGAACTTATCATACAGTAACACTGTTGATTGGTAATATAGACTTTATTTTATAAGAAGGAAATGCATTTTTGGGCTATTTGCTCCACTTCAGTTCTTATCATACATATTTGATGAAACTACAAAATAATTTACAGTAAAATTAACAGCTATTTATTATCCTATATACAAGTAAAACAAAAAAAATTTGATTATCTAAAATGATATTTAATTAATAGTGACAGCTGGAGTAACCAAGTTTTTTAAAATGAAAGGGTAAAACTAATAAAACTCAAATTAAAAAATAAGTAAATAATAAAATAACTACAAAATACTACTAAAATGTGATAAAAGGTATAGCTGAAAAACATAAAAGTTAAAACTTACTAAAAAAATTAGAAAAAGAAAAATTGACACATAAAAAACACTAGAGATTTTGCTGGTTAACTTTAAAGTAAAAGGTGTAAAACACTTCACTGTATGTTTATTGGGTAGACTGACTATCATATGGTACAGTGAATTAATAAAATGTGGGGGAGGAAGGACATCTTAAAATGGATTCTTCTTATTATTCCAATAATGGTTGACAGATTTCACTGATGACAATGCAGCAATCATGTTGCCTGTCACAAAATTTGCAATTTATGAAAATTATGTTTATCTGACGATTGGAGTGGCAAATAGCCAGAGAGCAGTTGGGATTAAACAAAAAGTCACTTGGTGAAAAAGAGTATCACAGAACATGAGGTTCAGTAAGTCAAGTAGTCAAAGAGTATCAGTTTTATGAGGTTGGTCTGATACAATTTTACTGTTAATAAACAAAAATAAAGTTGCTTGAGAAACTGTCATAAAAACTTTTCATTTTTTTTTAATATTATTGGTTGTCCTTTATTTCAGGTTGGTACAAAAAATCACATTAAGCAAAAAATGACCTGACAAATAACTTTTAAAAAAGTAACCTGGCCAATAACTTTTTTATTTTGATGAATAAAAAATGTTTGGCAAATGGGTTGGTCATTGTTATAAAAAAGCCATGATGCCCCTGCAATGCCAGTGTTTAAATTCATTCTATTATTTTTGTTGATTTTAACTTTTCTATTTGCCAACTTTTTAGCAAGTTTTAACTTCTATTTTTTTACATATATACCCTTTATCTTATTTTAATAGTATTTTATAGTTATTTTATTATTTAATATTCATATTTTTTAATTTATTTTAATTTTACTAGTTTTACCCTTTGTTTTAAAAATTCAGTTACTCCAGTTGTTACTATTAAATATCATTTCAGGTAATCTACTTTCTTATGGTTTTTACTTGTATATAGGATAATAAATAGCTGTTAATTTTATTGTAAATTATTCTATAGTTTTCATCAAATATGTATAATAAAGACTGAAGATGGACAAATACCCCAAAATTCTTTTTTTTTTTTTTATAAAATAAAATTTACATTACCAATCAACAGTATTCCTGTACAGTAAATTCTTCATAGCAATTCTGTTCTTACTTTTAAAGAATATAGCTTGGTTATTCTTCAAAGATTGCAGGGGGAAAAAAATACAGTAGAACCTCATTAATTCAAACTAATTGGGGAAAAGCCTAGTCAAAATTAGGGCAAATCTGAATTGGCAAGATTTTTTACTGAAATGTGTATTTGTATTGGTCCAAAAAGTACACTTTTTATTTAAAGTCAAATTTTATTTGCACTTTAAATGAACAAATAATTAGTGATTTTATAAACTTTACAATGCAAAAGTAGTAGCAGCATTGTTCTTACCATATATATAAATTACAATCCAATACTTCAACATTGCCAAACAAGCTACTGAATTTTGCAGGCTATATTTTAAATTTACTTAATAATTAGAATCAAAGCAATTTGTGTACAGATAGGAACCATTTCTTGATAAATTTAATAAATGCTGGGGTTAAGGCAGAAGTAGTGAGATCCATAGAGGACCATGGGCACTAAAGTCCCTGTCAGCACTGAGAGTGACCAGTATGGTTATATTTGAATTAATTCATTAATTAATAGTTCAAGAAGAGGAGATTGAACAGAGATCTGGTCAGTGTAACTGGCAACACAACTGCAAGGCAAGAAGGAGTTGCAAGTTTGAATTATACTTCAGGCTGATTCTTTTCTTCTAGAGTAGTTAAATTAAATTTTAAAATTTATTTATTATTAAATTTATCAAGAGATGTAACCTAATTGCCTACCCCTAGACAAATTGTCTTGATTCTGATTATTAAGTAGCTTTAAAATATAGCCCATAAATCTGACAGATTGTTTGGCTATTTCCTATCATTGCCAACATTATTAATTTGAGCTTAATTTAAGAACTACTAAGTTTTGTTTGCAATTCATTTTCTAACTGTTCCTTGATCACATCTTGATGTATGTGTCTAAGGGTAAAGTAATATTAATAGTTATTAAAGCCTGAACTAGAATCAACAAATTTATTATTTAAAAAAGTACAAATTACAAAATAGTAGTTTGAATTATTGTGAATTCCAAATTAGCTAGGTTTTACTGTGTGTGTGTGTATAACATAATTATGTCTTTGTTCTGACACAAGAAATTTGTTGTAGTAATTGTGCNAACAAATTTAATATCAGTATAAATTAAAATAACATTATAAATATGTAGCTTCTGTACTCAATTGCTTCTTGTTCTCTCTATTTAGTTCCTCGAAAGTAAGCACAGAATTGCTATGGAGAACTTATCATACAGTAACACTGTTGATTGGTAATATAGACTTTATTTTATAAGAAGGAAATGCATTTTTGGGCTATTTGCTCCACTTCAGTTCTTATCATACATATTTGATGAAACTACAAAATAATTTACAGTAAAATTAACAGCTATTTATTATCCTATATACAAGTAAAACAAAAAAAATTTGATTATCTAAAATGATATTTAATTAATAGTGACAGCTGGAGTAACCAAGTTTTTTAAAATGAAAGGGTAAAACTAATAAAACTCAAATTAAAAAATAAGTAAATAATAAAATAACTACAAAATACTACTAAAATGTGATAAAAGGTATAGCTGAAAAACATAAAAGTTAAAACTTACTAAAAAAATTAGAAAAAGAAAAATTGACACATAAAAAACACTAGAGATTTTGCTGGTTAACTTTAAAGTAAAAGGTGTAAAACACTTCACTGTATGTTTATTGGGTAGACTGACTATCATATGGTACAGTGAATTAATAAAATGTGGGGGAGGAAGGACATCTTAAAATGGATTCTTCTTATTATTCCAATAATGGTTGACAGATTTCACTGATGACAATGCAGCAATCATGTTGCCTGTCACAAAATTTGCAATTTATGAAAATTATGTTTATCTGACGATTGGAGTGGCAAATAGCCAGAGAGCAGTTGGGATTAAACAAAAAGTCACTTGGTGAAAAAGAGTATCACAGAACATGAGGTTCAGTAAGTCGAGTAGTCAAAGAGTATCAGTTTTATGAGGTTGGTCTGATACAATTTTACTGTTAATAAACAAAAATAAAGTTGCTTGAGAAACTGTCATAAAAACTTTTCATTTTTTTTTAATATTATTGGTTGTCCTTTATTTCAGGTTGGTACAAAAAATCACATTAAGCAAAAAATGACCTGACAAATAACTTTTAAAAAAGTAACCTGGCCAATAACTTTTTTATTTTGATGAATAAAAAATGTTTGGCAAATGGGTTGGTCATTGTTATAAAAAAGCCATGATGCCCCTGCAATGCCAGTGTTTAAATTCATTCTATTATTTTTGTTGATTTTAACTTTTCTATTTGCCAACTTTTTAGCAAGTTTTAACTTCTATTTTTTTACATATATACCCTTTATCTTATTTTAATAGTATTTTATAGTTATTTTATTATTTAATATTGTGAGACCTGGAAACAGTGCAAAAAAAAAGAAGAAAGAAAAATTTGTTAAGTTAAACCATCAAGAAAATAAATTATATAAGTGTTGAATCTGCGACACTGAACTTTGATGTTGATGCTCATAAAGAATAGTGGAAAAAACAAAATTTTAGATAAAGAAAATTAAAAATGGAAATATTTAACACTTAAAATGCAATTTAGAAAGTAAAATGAAACTAGAAAAATATTAAGAATGAGCATGGGTGTCATAGTCATCGACAAAACGCGATCAGAGTCTAAGAGATAGTGTCGGATAGACCATATCTAGCTGACCTTTCCCGCACCCTGAACAGAGCTCCATTTACACCTGGAGACAGGTGGGAGACCAATTGAGAAGCAAGGAGAAAAAGGTCTAGCAATAAGCGATGAACCGAATCAAGAGGTTTGATAAGAACTAGTTCAGAAAGGACAGAAGAGCATCATCCTCTCCAGACCATCGGGTGCACTCAACGTCATCAGTTCCTTGTGAATCCTTAGACATTTTGTGTGGTTAATTTCAACACCAACAAAGACTGACTCGCCAATACCCCGGGGCTCTGCCAACATGAAAAGAGAAAGGAAAGAACTTTCAAAGACAACATGAACCAAATTCTGGACTTCCGGACATTGACCTAATTATGTAAGCATTGTCACCTAAATAAACAGTTTCTTTGTGAAACACTTGTCTCTTTCTGCCTCCTTAAAACTGCCACCCACATACAAATTGACCTTAGTCCATCCCAACAGTAGGGAATAAACCCCCCTTAATTGGCAAGCTTACAATATTCATATTTTTTACTTAGTTATTTTTTAATTTATTTTAATTTTACTANATTTGCAATTAAAGACTAATTTGTCTTTAAAACAAAATAACAAGTTTTAAAAATGTTTCATTCAGTAAAAATGAATCTCATATTTTGATCATTCTTTCTTCAAGTGATTCTTTAGCATTGGATCATTTTTCATCATATCTCTTCTCCTGTCATATTCTCTTCTCTTTGCCCTGGATTCTGCAGGTATGATGTTTGTTTTTGGGTCTATTGTTTACAATGCATCACATATGCCATTCATTGCTGGAAAAGGAAGTGACTCAGAATTGTGAGGCCATCCAATATCAGTTGGCTAAAAGTAGATTTAAGTAAAGTGTCTCATTCCCTCCAGCTCACAATCATTCTCTCACCTACCATACAGTGAGAAAATAATGAAATTGCAGAAAGATGGTAGTTTCTCCAATGCTTACAGCTTCTCATAATTTTTTTTATTTCATTAATCTGCTCCTTGGTTTGTTTCTACCAACCAGAATTACAATTTTCATAATTTGAAAAGGATCACAAAGTATTTAGTGGAAAAATGATGATCAGGGGAACTAGTTACTTAGGATAGAGGCTGAAATATGCTGTAATTTCTCGAAGCAATGTAATCAAGCAGCAAAGCATGCTGGAACCTCTTCTCATTAGTGCATTGTGGGTAAGGACTATATTAATCATGAAGCACCATTTTTTTGTTGACCTATGCAGGAAGTAACATCTCCTTGTGAGGGAATGATGGCATGCCATGGAGACTACTTTTTTCACTCAGAATGGAAATGAAAGTTTTTATTTTCATGAAAATATACAAACATAGTACACTTCTTCATCCATACTTAGGCATTACTTGGTTGAAATAAGTTGTTACTATACATTTATGTATGATATATTAAATGAAGTGCAGGTAGGTAGGGATGTGTGAGGGAATAACATGCAAATACATACATCTGGATTTTCAGCCTTTAAACAATTGATGAAAATCACTTTTAGCATATATCATGATTGTGATTGGAATGATGACTACAATGCAATGTTTTCTGCTTTAAAGTTAGGACTTTTCTATGTGTTATGAAGTAAGGACATCAAATTGTCCACTTCTCTGAGAATGATCCATGTATAAATTAGTTTTTACTTCAATAAAGCAAGTTTTGAAGTAATTATATTAAAAGAATTGCAATAGAGTTATAAACTAGATTTTTAGTAAAGGAAAGGCTAATTTACTAACTAACATTTCTTTAATAGTTAAAAGTGATAAAGAAAAAGAACAAGAAGGAATGACAAATCCAGTGAAATATATACCGGATAAAATGAAACAGAGGGAAAATGAAACGGAAGAGCATTTCATTTGGAGGATTAATCGACTAGTCAGTCAGTCACTTGTGGAGGCAGAAATTGACCGAAAATATGGTGTTGATGTTTTAGAAAAAAATGAAACAGTAAAGAATGACAAAAAGTTAAAAAATAAACAGTTGTAAGTATAATTATTGTTGATTTTTTTTTTAAAGTTTTTGTTTACATTTAAGCAAAGAAGAAGAGTCTATAATCTATACAATGCTTCAGTTCTGTATCTTCAATACCAATATATTGGGTTGTTCGGAAAGTAAGTTTGTTTTTTTTACCACTAGACGGGTTAGTGGTATTTTTCCTGCAATTTTCGTTCTAAACCATATTATCATTATATATTTTGACAGCTAGCATTTTATGGCTTATTTATAAAAAATTTTGTTTGATTTCGTGCAATTGTTTATTTTTTGTGTCCCATCAAATATGGAAGATCGAAAGCAGCAACTTCGGCATATTTTGCTTTTTTATTACCAAAAAAATAAAAATGCTGTTCAAGCAAGAAAAAAATCATGTGACATGTATGGTGGAGATGTGTTGACAGAACGACAGTGCCAAAACTGGTTTACAAAATTTCGTTCTCGCAATTTCAGTATTGAAGATGCACCACGTTATGGATGGCCAATTGAAGCCAATGAAAACAAAATAAAAGTACCGATTGAAGCAAACTGCGGAATAACAACACGTGAAATCACTAAGAGATTAAATTTGTCAAATTGAACTGTTTATGAGTACTTGAAACAAATTGGTTTCGTTTCAAAGCTCGATATATGAATTCCACGAGTTCTTAAAGAGAAATGCTCTATTTGGTGGGATATTAAGGAAATTTTTTTTGGAGATTTTACCAGACAATTTAACAATTGATTCGAAAGTGTACTGCATTCGAGTAAACAAATTGCGTAATATCATCAAACAGAAAAAGCCAGCCAGAATTGATAAAAAAAAAAAAGCTGTAGTGTTTTACCACAATAATGTCAAATTTCACACAAGTTTGGTAACTCGTCAGAAACTGTTATAACTTAGATGGGACGTGCTATCACACCAACCGTATTCGCCAGATCGAGCACACTCAGATTATTACTTGTTCCGGTCTGTATAACTTTTTTTAACTGTAAGACATTTACTTGAAATGATAATGTCAAAAATCACTTGGATCGGTTTTTTGTAAGCAACGATCAAAACTTTTATGAATGTGAAATCGTGCTACTACCAGAAACGATGACAACAGGTATTTGACCAAAATGGTCAACATATAATTCAATAAAATATTTATTTATCATAAGAATATTGCGTTTTTTTTCCACAGAAAAAAAACGAACTTACTTTCCGAACAACCCAATATTATACAGTCAAAACAGTAATTTTCTAGGAATTAGCACATCCACAGATGCCAAAATCACCAAACAATCAACAACTTTATTTTACCCAGATAAATTTTGGAAATTTACAATATTTTCCTCCTCAGTTGATTTCCTTCAATACAAGCAAAATAAGGCACAAATGTTTTCTGATACACTTTCAATTCCAATGTTTCAACTGTTAAATAATATTAATGAATGAAAGTGGTTTAACTATTTTTTAAACCATAACATTTTTAAAAAACCTTAAGCCCAGTATATCTAAATAAATTACTGTGCTACGTAATATTACTTTGTACACAATCATTGTGTACGAAGTAATATTAGGTAGTATACCTAGGTAGTATGTAATATTAGGTATACTTAGGTAGTATGTAATATTAGGTAGTATACCTAATATTACATACCACTATTAACTATAGTATTTTAACCATATATATAATACTATTCCCATAGAGGTTGTGGCTCTTGCATATTTCTGATGGGCAATATATGGTTCCTACTCTGACAAGGTTTGGCCATCCCTGGTATATAATATTGAGTAAAAATAATTATTTTATTTTAAAAATACCTACTTTATTGTTGAACTAGCTCTCAATTCTATTTTTTAATACTAAGATTTGTAAATATGGATGAAAACTTTTCTATAATGACTATTCATATCACAAGCATGACCATTCATCATCATTATAAAAGTTGTTTATTTTTCACAAAACCGTCATAATCTTGGTTTATTATTAATATACTACTATTTTCAGAAAGAAATTTTTATTTTGACAATCATTTAAAGAAAATTTTACTAAATTTCTTCATACATATACTGTATAAGAATTTAAGATTTTACAAATATAACAAGAAACTATTTATTGTGACATCATCACAATTTTGGGAGCTGCAACATTTAATCATATTTTTATTTATTTAATTTAAAATATATGCTTTCCACCTCAAATTAGTACTGTAGTGTTTTGCCCCTGTACATCATACTTTTCCTGTTACCAATTGAGTTTTGCCTGTCATCTATCTAACTCCTTTCAGGAAAATATTTGAACTGAAATAACGTGACTTCTGGTTTGCATCAGAAATTCGTATATAATTAATAGGGACCTCCTGTCCTTAAGCTTTCCATATATCTTGACTTTCATGTATCTAACACCATTTTCAAGATTATACAGAAGGTCAGATGGATGACAGTGGGAATTTATAGGTCTACAATTTTTTCAAATTGCAGCCCAATAATTTGCTTGTATGAAATGAGTGAAAATTCAAAATTTAGTTAACCAGAGACATCTGTAAGAAAATTTCAAAGTTTCGAAACAATATAACAAAGTTGTCATTGTATTTTCATTATGCATTGAGAACATAGAAGATGCAAAATATCATTTTCCCTATAGAAAATAAGCACATTTATAAGCATCATAAAAGAAAATGAAGATATTTTGTACATCTCGCAATGTTTCTGAATTATATCCCTTTTCAAATAGTGTTATAAGTAATTTTGATTGATTTTTGCTATTATTATTATTAATATCAATATTCAGTAGAGCGTCGATTATTCGAAAGTCAATCATCCGAAAGAATTCCAGTCAGCAAATTTAAATTTTCGCCAGTGCTGTGGCACTGCAATCTTTGGCTATGTCTTGGGCTACTCAAATATTTTACGTTTTTGATACTAAATTAACTTCTGAAGTATAATTTTTTATTGTTTTTATATTTTTAAATATATTTATTTTGTTCGTATAATATAAAAAAATAATTTTTAACGATACAATAGTCTTTGTTAGACTTAACATCGACGAAAATTCAATGCAAAGCGACACGCAACGGAGAAAAATGTGAAGATGGGATAAATTAATATATTTTTTCATACATAATCGGTTATCCGAAATACCGATCTTCCGAACAACCCCAGTCCCCAATTGATTCAGATAATCGACGCTCTACTGTATTAACAAATTCCAGTAAGAAGTGATAAACTTATACAAGTAGTAAGTTAGCATGTTTTAATCATTCAGCCCAGATCCTCAAATCAATGGTTAGTGATACAATAGACAAATGAACTGTTAATAGCTTCTGTCAGTGACTGTTTATTTCAATTTTTTAATTTATTACATTAAGTACATCTGTATCTGGCCATGCATTGCTGTGGCTCAAAATGTATCTATTATAAATATATAACACTCCCTGTGGGAGGGAATTTAAAAAAATCCCTTCTTAGTGTACATTCTCTTGATGTACTCTATTAAAATGCAATCAAAAACACAAAAAACTGCATCTAAAATAGTATAATAGAAGCTGAGTTCTTCACGGTAAGCCTTAATTTTGTCCCTCTCCCCATGGGGGAATTTCGACATCTATATAATATACAACTTTGGACAAGTGCACTGCGTATCTCGCCAACCACACGAGTGCACCGTGCAGCTACCTATCTCATATGCATACGCGTCTTGCCCCTCACCACACACTGACATCAAAATATCTTTTAATTTATATGAATGTTTAACAGAATAATATACAGCCTATGTCCATCCTGAAGGTCCATTCTAAATATTGGTGAAAGAATTTTTGAAATCAGAAGTAGTTTTGGAGATTACCTCCTAAATCCAAACTTACAAACTTTACCTCTTTATAATATTAGTATAGATATATTATATTATATTATATTATATTAAAAACTTGAAAGTTATGCAACTTTTCAAATAAACAACTATCTACAATTAACCAGTATCCGGCGCGAAATTCTTTAAAATCGGAGAACGTTTTTGATTCCCCTCCTGGGATCTTCTTCAGGCTTACTTTTTATACCTTTTGTTATAACTGAATTCTTTAATTTGAATGTCTTTTAAAAAATATGGAACGGCCATTTTTCAAAAAAATTTCCGAAAGTGGAAGGAATCCACGTATTATTTCAAATATCATTTTCTACCAATGGGGATTTGTTGTGTGCAATATCTCATAAAAGTTATCTTATAAAATATATTATGATTTATCGTCAATTAAAAATTGCCATGCTGCAGAGAGATTTATATCTTCTTTGAAATTAATGCATGCGGATTTGCGATCGGCTTTAAAGATTTCCACTGCCTCCAAAGTTCTTAGTTGTCCCTGGTGTTGGGTGGTGCGAATAACATGCGCTTCATCGAAGATAGGTGTGATGCCCGGGTTTGTTGCATACGTAGATAGGGCCGTCGTACATTTATTATGTTCGATGTCTGATTTATGCTCTTTTAATCTTGTGGCCAATGAACGCTTGGTGGATCCGATATACACTAAAGGCCTATCCCATCTGTTATCTTTTAATGGAATACTGTATATCCCTGGAAGCCTGTTTGGGTCCGAATTGTCCTTCCCGTTCCTTAATAAACTGTAAATGGTTGGGTTTCTTTTGTATGCAATCTTAATTCCCTTTATTTTTGCAATTTTTTCGTACATTGCCTTTAGATGCGGGTTATACGTTATTGGTACCCTCTGTACGCTATCCTCATTTCCATTATTTAGTACCTCTACCTTTTCTTCTACAAGATTCTGCAAACGCTGGTGCTGTTTACACAATCCTTTTATAATATTGCTGTAACCATGCTCTTTAGCGATCTTCCTAATGTAATTTAATTCTCATTGGAGGGCTTGGGAGGTGGAAGAATGCATATATGCTCTTTCTACTAATGCTCTAAACGCCACTATCTTATAAGAAAGAACTTAAGAAGATAGACACTCCAGATTGCGCAACGGTATTGGATTTTAGATCCTTATACCCATCAATAAAATTCAACCATGTTTTTTTGCACTTAGGGACTTCCTTCTTTCTGGCATAGAGGACACCACATTGCACCACAATATACTCGAGTTAGTGCATCTGGCTTGTTACAATTCCGTATTCCAATTCAAGAACACCATATACAAGCAAGGAAGAGGAATGCCAATGGGAAGTCCATTATCTGGAGATTTATTCGAAATGGTAATCAGAATATTAGAAAGCAAAGTCCTTCCCTCCTTTCTCCCAAATATTAGCCTGTACGGAAGATATATCGACGATATAATTATCCTTTGGAAAACTGAGCCGGATATAAATCATTTTATGGAAACAATGAACAACAACCCATATGGCCTCGTAGTGGAACTGGAACAACAAAGTAAGGATAAAGTACACTTCTTGGATATAGTCATAGATATGAAAGAAAGGGTGGTACAAACTTATGTATACAGAAAACCTACAGCGATATCAACGTATATACCTTATAAATCTTGTGACCCATTTTCTTATAAGATAGCGGTGTTTAGAGCATTAGTAGAAAGAGCGTATACGCATTCTTCCACCTCCCAAGCCCTCCAACGAGAATTAAATTACATTAGGAAGATCGCTAAAGAGCATGGTTACAGCAATATTATAAAAGGATTGTGTAAACAGCACCAGCGTTTGCAGAATCTTGTAGAAGAAAAGGTAGAGGTACTAAATAATGGAAATGAGGATAGCGTAGAGAGGGTACCAATAACGTATAACCCACATCTAAAGGCAATGTACGAAAAAATTGCAAAAATAAAGGGAATTAAGATTGCATACAAAAGAAACCCAACCATTTACAGTTTATTAAGGAACGGGAAGGACAATTCGGACCCAAACAGGCTTCCAGGGATATACAGTATTCCATTAAAAGATAACAGATGGGATAGGCCTTTAGTGTATATCGGATCCACCAAGCGTTCATTGGCCACAAGATTAAAAGAGCATAAATCAGACATCGAACATAATAAATGTATGACGGCCCTATCTACGTATGCAACAAACCCGGGCATCACACCTATCTTCGATGAAGCGCACGTTATTCGCACCACCCAACACCAGGGACAACTAAGAACTTTGGAGGCAGTGGAAATCTTTAAAGCCGATCGCAAATCCGCATGCATTAATTTCAAAGAAGAAATAAATCTCTCTGCAGCATGGCAATTTTTAATTGACGATAAATCATAATATATTTTATAAGATAAATTTTATGAGATATTGCACACAACAAATCCCCATTGGTAGAAAATGATATTTAAAATAACACGTGGATTCCTTCCACTTTCGGAAATTTTTTTGAAAAATGGCACGTTCCATATTTTTGAAAAAACATTCGAATTAAAGAATCCAGTTATAACGAAAGGTATAAAAAGTAAGCCTGAAGAAGATCCCAGAAGGGGAATCCAAAACGTTCGCTGATTTTAAAGAATTTCGCGCTGGTTACTGGTTAATTGTAGATAGTTGTTTATTTGAAAAGTATACAACCCGGTGTGGTGAGAAAGTACATTAGTTATGCAACTTGTTGCTGGATTTTTTTTATCATAGCAGTTATTGCTAATTAGATGGAATGGAAATTTTAAGCTAAATTATTTTTTGTTAGGAAAAGAAAATTATCACAACAGAAGAAAAAAGAGAAAAAACTAATGAAAATTGAAAACAAAAAAGATGACTTTGAAGAATTTAAAGGTATTACAGTAGACCCCCTTATAACGCAGGTTCATATAATGCAGATTCGTATATCGCGGCGAAAAATTGCAACCGTATTCATATAAAGAGGCTAAAAGAAACTCATAAAATGCGGTAAAACGTCATCACCGACTCATGTCGTGACAGGATTGGTCAAATCTGGACCAATAGATGACGAGCAGCCAAACTACTTACACACTACAGAGAGTTTAGGCGGGTACTATCGTCTGTACAGTATATAGGCCTAAATTAGGTACCGTAAGTCTGTAAATTACAGGTACAGTACTGTAAATGTATACATTTCTTGTGAAAAAAACATTTTTTATTCAACGGTCATAAAAATTATGTCTCCAAAGTTCAACAAATTTTTCACAGAAAAATAACTTATCAGAAAACGCGGGTGCCATTTGGTGTGCTGCTCCACGACGAAAACAAGCTTAAGCAATGGCGTCGTCGAACAGTGCACACTCGGTAAGTTATCCAACAATTTTTTGTTTATAGCATAGTTTATACAGATTATTCCCAAAAAATTATACATGTTTTGGAAATGTTGAGTGAAATTAGTCTAAAATCGATTAATATTATGGAAGAAAACCTTTCAAACAGCCGTAGTCCGTAAACTGCACACGTGCCAGGCAGTGATTGGCTCATGTATTTGAGGATTCCTACAACACGAAATTCTTATAAAGCGAATGTATCTATCACCTTATAGGGGGGTTGACTGTACATATGTTAGAAATTTTTATATGTAATTTTTCATGTTTAACTGAGTTTTAGTTCTTCTTTTCAGATGAAATAAAATTTGGAGAAGTTGTAAAAGAACCCCCAAAGTTGACATGTTTGAAACAAATTACTAAATTTGTTAAATAATCAGATATATCGGAATATCTTGATTATGGGTGTATAAGAAAATAAAAACGAATGAGGACTGTACAATGGCACTTGGAATGAAATTTGTTTTTAATAACATTTTGTGATCAGTTCCATTATCGGTCTGACTTACAAAAGTAGGTAGATATTCTGAATACAAAGGAAAAACTTGTTTCTAAATTCTAAACTAAAACGACTTAATTCTATATACAATCATTACATGGTGGTACACACGTGTTGCTACTATCCTTCTTTGTTCTTAGTCCGATCTCCTTGTGAGTCTCTGCTCGCTCGTCCGTCCGTCCTTGTAGCACCAATCAAACGAAAAGAGAGAGTCCTTCCACACACGAGACAGTCTCTCTTTATACCCTTCTACACATGACCTTTGTTCTCCACTAATCAGTCCGCACCCTATTGCGCAGCATTAGGAGTGACCCGACATAGTCCCTGCGTACAATTACACAAAGAAAACAAAAACATAGTTCTTGACACGTGGAGATTCATTTACACAAAATATAACAATATGGAAGAGTACATAAATAAAACCAAAGTATCGTAGCACTACAATTAAAAAGCAAACCCAGTTTACTTAATTACAAAGATAACGTTTCTGTTCNTAACCGAGACGAAACACGATCAACTGACTTATACACCAGACTCAAAAGTTATTTTTGACTTTTTGTACAGTACATCGTCTAAACTTCAAATTATGAAGTAAAATTTTAATTAAGTTTGACCCCACTTCAGGTATGACATGAGGTATCCTCCCTTAAGCTCTCTCTCTCAGGCCAGATGGCCGAGCGGTCAAGGTGGCAGCCTACTGCTCAGAAGGACTCGGGATCGAATTCGGACGGCTCAAGGAATCCCCAGGAATTTTTTGGGGGGTGGACCGTTCGGATATGTCGGGCCCCGTCCCTCACCACCCAGTCACCCCATTGTGGGCCTGCTATAAGAGGCCCTGTTAGTGTCCACAGGGCTGAAAGAGTATTAAAAAAATAATAATAATAAATATTATAAGTTATTTGTATAAGAAGAATAAATTTTTTAAATTTAATAACTATAGTGTGTGACAAATTCATATATAAAATGGTATTTTCAAGAAATAAAATTTATTTCTTTGACTTAAGTTTATTAGAAAGATCTGAAATATTCTGTAATGTACAGTACATATTCATATAAGATATAATTACTTTGATGAATATATATGTCAAATATCTGACAGGATAAAGGGACATTCATTGCATAATTTTTCTGCAATTTAGACAATTATTAGACTTTTTTTACACTTTTAAATTAATTCAATCATAAGGTAATATCATATGAAAAATTTGAATTCCATTCTGAAATATTTTTAGTCGTAAGACCCGTGTCATGGAAATAATCTGCTACCAAAAAATTTATATTTTTTTTTTAAAGCAATGAGTTTAGAAAAAATGATGAATGCCTAAATAAAAATGAAATTTAATGTTAACTTTGGACAGCTATTTCCTTGAAAATCTAGCAATGAAATGTTAATTTTTTAAGTTTAAAAACCATATAACCACCAGTGGCCAAGCGGTCTTTGTACCCTGAATACTGGGAGTTTGGTCGTGGGTTCATGCCTCGCTTGGACGGGCTGGCCACATGGAGTTTTCTGGGTTTTCTCCACATCTGTAACGCCTAAATAGGGGCCAGTTTCCATTAAAAAGACCTTCCGGAAGGCATCCCCTAGGCAGATCGCCTAAGTTGCGTTGCCATAGCTTAACAAACATAAACATTAAAAACACTATGAACTAGCTCAAGTTAAAATTATGTGGTGCCAACTGTTATGCACTATTAAAAATAACTCTTATATTATTGATTATTATAAAAAAAGGTAAAGATGAATTTTTTAAAATTTGTAAATGTGAATAATGAGTTAAATTTTAGTGATAACTCAGGATGTGTTTTCTTCATAATTTGAAGTTTAGACTATGTACAAAAAGTCAAAAATAACTTTTGAGTCCATCTTTATCCCTTATACACTACCACAGAAGTAACAGTCTTAAAAAAAAATGCACACAGGTAAAAATTACAGGTAAAAAAACATATGGTAAAAATTGGTAAAAAAAGTTTTTTTTACCAATTTTTACCTGTGTTTAAGAAGAGTTCTTCAAAGCATTTTTTTTAAGACTGTTACTTCTGTGGTAGTGTATAAGGGATAAAAATGGACTCAAAAATTATTTTTGACTTTTTGTACAGTACATCGTCTAAACTTCAAATTATGAAGTAAAATTTTAATTAAGTTTGACCCCACTTCAGGTATGACATGAGGTATCCTCCCTTAAGCTCTCTCTCTCAGGCCAGATGGCCGAGCGGTCAAGGTGGCAGCCTACTGCTCAGAAGGACTCGGGATCGAATTCGGACGGCTCAAGGAATCCCCAGGAATTTTTTGGGGGGTGGACCGTTCGGATATGTCGGGCCCCGTCCCTCACCACCCAGTCACCCCATTGTGGGCCTGCTATAAGAGGCCCTGTTAGTGTCCACAGGGCTGAAAGAGTATTAAAAAAATAATAATAATAAATAAAAGCTCTGTCTCCCAAAACTTAATAGCATCCAATTCCTTTATATACAAGTTATATCCAAGAATTTCATTTGACATGGTAACTTGTATATAAAGGGATATACATCCTTACTCTATCCTGAGATGTTAAATGGGACACATACTGGGGGAGTTTTCCCCATTTTTTAACTTTTTGGGTGCAGGGTCTCAAAATGTCAAGATTTGCAAAAATCCCTGGAGGGTCAAATTACAATATTTTCCTGTACTATATAAATAAAGTTGGAAAAATAAAAATTCTAAAATTCTGATATTAAAATAAACCTGTAATTTTTTTTATAAGACTCCTCCCCATATTAAGAATTTACTTATAGGAATTCGATAGTTAGAAACTTTTAATCGGGAAAACAATAGCTTTAATACAGTCTACGGATAAATTAGATAAATTACGTGAAGCAGCGAAATACATGCGCCATTACGCCATTTCTGCTAGAAGTAGCAAATAGCACTCGCCTGCATAGAGTGTAATTGTAATAGTGTTTTGCCCCCATACATCATGCTTTTCCTATTAGCAATAGTGTCGTGACGGTTATATATAACTAACTCCGTTCGGGGGAAAATTTTTGTATCGAAATAACGCGACGGTACAAATCGGAAGTTTATATATAGGTAATCTGGTTCTTTTCTCTTACAATTTTCATGTCTGGTCTCGACTTTCATCAAATTCCGTTCTTGAGATTAAGGAAGGTCAGAGACGGACGGACGACGGTGGGAATTTATAGGTCTATATCTCTTTCAAATTGCAGCCCAATAAGTACACTCAAGTAACCGAAAAGATAAAACCACCGATCGCCGGTAGTCGGTCATGGGTTCGTTCATGCATGGCCAACGGACTTGCCACGTGCAGTTTTCTGGTTTTTCTTCGCGTTATTAACATTACAATTCTTTATTTTTCTACTATACACAATTTAAAGAAAATTTAAAATGTGTTAGATTGATCACTCGGTGTGATAAACCCTTACGTAAGATAACTTTCGTAGTTATATAAAACAAATACTATAATATAATATAAGGGTTAGAAGTATGAAATAATCTAATAATCGTAATCTTTGTTGCTGTTATTTTTGCTCAGATAGCGCCGGTCTCATCTACTAGTAAAATAATAATAATAAATATTCAAAACAAAAACCATATTTTAGAATTAATCAATGTTAAAATATAAAATTCCAATCAATCTAAAAAACGAAAGTTGCTTATAATTAAAAAAAATGAATTTCAAACTAACTGGGGGATAATTTTGGGCTATATTTCGGCTACAACTTAACTAATCAAATGAATTTGGTATAAAAATGGATAGTGTCGCCATCTCGTGACAAATTTTATAATATATCTTTTCCTAAACTCTACGGATTTTCAATTTACATTTAAGTCCGGAAGACCAAATAAAACCTATATGACGTCATCCCGAGGAAGAGCATGATGTGAGGAAGAATATCTTTTAAGTTCCTCAATCATCGTTCTTACGTTTTTCCCTGGGATTATAAAATGAAAATTCTCTAATCTTGTCTTAATCTGTCAATTTCTCGAGCCTTCCCGTGTCCAATAATTTCATTTTATTTAAATAAAACATAAGCTAAACGTTGTGAAAATTATCAATATACTTCTTTTGGAATGAAATTAGGAGAAAATAATTTAACGATAATAATTGAAATACCATCCCAAAGCTTTCTTGTTAAACAGAGAGACTGTGAGGGAAAGCACGATTTACAGGCGAATTTACTCTAAAATAAAATAAAATAAAAATTAAGCATTAAGTAAGTATAGATATAAAATTAAATTGATTTTACGTACGTTTAACTTCGTTAAAAGAAATTTAGAATTTTGATTGGAGATCCGCGTGCCAAATATAAGGTTCGCTCGAATGATTGAAGCAGTGCGCACTTTACGTAAATTTTGCGTCATTTTCTAGAATTTCCCATTGAGATTTGAAGAGATGACGTCAAATTGACGTAAAAATATATACTATTCCAACCAATCGAAAAGAGCCATAATTTTCAAAATAAATAATATTATTATTATTATGAATAAATATTTAGTTAAATGTGCACGTTTTTCGTAATTATTAGTGTATGCACATATTAACATCATATCTTTTCTTCCAGAACAGTCTAAATTTAAATTTAAATTATTTAATTTATTAATTATTAATTGTATCACGAGATGGCTGCCTAATCGCCTACCTCTTGTCAAATTACCTTATATCCAATTATGAAAATTAGTCATATTGTAGCCCAAAAATAATCCGGCAAATCCTTCGGCTCTTATTGGTGTATGACTTTATTTAATCATTATGAGTGGGAAATCATTTCAGCTTACCATTTCCCATTATAGAAATTATAAGCTGAAATGATATTATAGTTTAATAATGATGATAACATTTTTTTAAAAAGTAAGAAGCTCGTTACCAACTGGCTGAACCCGTAATAAGTATGATTAAAAAGCTCCGTCGGTGTCCACAGAGCGGGAGACGAAAATAAAATACAAGTGAAAAACTTGAATGACGTGTGAAAATCGCGATAAATTGTCTTTAAAGGCCGTATGAGCGATATATTGAAAGTAATTTCTTCTAATAAGAGAGATTTATAAAATTTTAATAAGTTTTCATCGAATAAATCTTTTAAATTCGAATTTCGAATTATAATTTTAACGTTTCGAAAAGAACGATTAAAACAAAGTCGATAAGTTGGGATAAACAGTTATCGAATGAAGAAACATGGCGGAATTAATTGAGATAATGGACGTAGTATCTGACAAATTACATTCAGATAACAGGTACACGAGAGTTCTAAAATATTTGGAAGAAAAAACGAAGTGTGACAGATTTTATATATTTTCCTGTAAGTTCAGCATTTGATAATGGAATATGTGTGTGTTTGCACGTGTTTATGTTTGTATTTTTGTGTGTGTATGTGTGTGATCGCAAAATTCAGTTTGAAAGCTTTCGAACTAGAATTCTGCGTGAAGATGGCTGCAACTTGTTTATATCTAAAGAGGTGGTCCAAAAGTCAGTTAACCGTTGTAAAAATTAAATCGCTGTCTTCTTCAAGTACTTAAATAGCCTATTTTGCGATTTTCTTGTTAGAAATACAATTTTGTTCTCGGTTTAAGGTTCGTATTCACAGATATAACCGAGACGAAACACGATCAACTGACTTATACACCATCCTGTACATGTTACAGCATGGTGCATAATTTCACTAATTCACAGTTATAGCAATAATAGTCGCTTCATACACGGCCGTAGGATTCGGGAGGGAATTTTTATGCACGTTCACATCCATTGTTTATCCCATTTATGCTTCGTAAGTGTGTTTTCAATTTCTTCTTCTTTGAAATTATTATATTTTACTCTAAAATAACGTTTTCTAATATAGAGTTTCGTCGGTGGAACAAAATAATCTGGAAGAAACTAGAAAATTGTTGATTTATTGGGTGATATTTGCATTAATTCATCTCTTTGAAACTATTTTTGACGCCGTAGTAACTTTAATCCCTTATTATTGGATGCTTAAAGTAATTATTATTTAAAAAAAAAATGCGGTTTGACATAAAAATGATGGGGACAGCGCCACAGACACGTAGCGGCCGTTAAGAAAACTAACTACAACGAAGGGAATTAGTAAAACCTGATCACTGGGGATGTGTTAATGCATATTTTTTTCTTTTCATTACTATTTTACGAACAAAAACGAATTAATAAGAATTTTGATAAGAAATCATTCTATTTAATTCACGTCAACTTTCAGTATGTGTACTATACGCACTAATCGGTAGAGGGCGCTATTGACATTTTTGCCATGCCGCATTTAATTAAAAAAACATTTTTTTTCCTCCTAAAATTTTAACAAAACCAATAACTTTTTTAGATGATTTTTCTGTTATTTTGTTTCGCTCCCATTTCAAACAACCTTTCCGTCTTCCTCCATCAGAGTTTCTTGTTGAAATTAATGAAATGCGCCATTTTGGAAGAGGAAGAAGAGCGTTTCAGACAGGAGGAAGACATTCAAAGTGAATCAGGTAATCTTATTACTTCTGTTTGTGTTAGGAATATATTTTTCTATATGTGCGGTGGCACAAAAAACAGTTAACCGAGATACTAAAAAGTTAATTACCTCGATTAACTGACTTTCGAGGCACGCCGCATTCGTTAATATCGTGCTTTTGTTACTTTAGAAAATGAAACGAAAGCCCAATTTGAATAATTTCTGAAGAGATTTCCGTAGAAAAACGATCAAAATTGTTTTATAGAAAGAAAAATGTAAATGTTTTAAGTAATAAAAATTAAAAGATATTTTCTTCAATGTTCCAAGTCTTTCGGGGCTTTCTTTTTGACTCCACTGGAGCACTAAGAGGGTTTTTTTTTTTTTTTAAATCGTACCCAGCGGCAGGGCTCTTTGGTGAGGGGCGTGGTCGATTTAACACTCGCACTTTCCAAGGTAGTAACCTTGAATGGTGCCAGTGTTAAGGGTCATATGAACGTATTGTTGAGATATTAAACTTTTACCAAGAGATGGAACTCTCAACATATATGAGCCATTAAAAACATTAACAACTCATCATTGTGATAAGAGATTATGCAAATAATAATTTCAAATTTATTAAGGTGGTCAAATTCCTTAAAAAGTTGTTTATAACAACTTTAACAATTCATTATTTATTTGCATATAATTTTTGGGATCAATTCTAAAAAAAGCAACAATACTAGTAATTGTTATTACCAACAAAAGAATTTATGAATTATATTTTCAACTGTAAGCAAGTCTGAGCATAATTATGTTTTTTTTTTTATTATTATTATTTGAGATAAACAGGTCAAACTGTTTACTTATGCAGACATATGTAAAAAAAATACTTTTGGTTGCTACTGCCTGTGGACATCGAGACGGCCTTTTTCCACACCCGTGGTGGATCGGACCGAACCCGTTAAGGAAGACTGCGAGGAACGGGGCCCCGCACGTTCGGAATGCATCGTTCAAGTTTGAGGCACTTGCCCGGGTCTCCCGGATTGGCAGGCAGTCGTCTTGACTGTCCGGGTCGGGATATGGCCGTTCGAGAAGAGTCTGTATGGTTCGAAGTTACTCGAGTTAAACTATGTAAATGTTTTTGATACATTTATGAAAATACACCATTACTTTAGTTTTCTGATCCAAATGGATTGCATCATCATAAAAAGTTAACTGTGAAAGTAAAACACTTATTGGTAATGTTTGACTCTGTGCCATTCCAGTGACTTCACCATTTCCAGATAAAAAAAAATTGTAATGAAATAAACTTTTCTTTGCATATGATATAATCTGATTTTTTATTTAAGCAAATTGGGAGATATAGGAGATTTATTAGTATTCCACAAGTTACATAAAATCAAACAAACTTGTGCAAGAGATCTATGGAAGAAATCCTGGAGCACATCAGGGGAAGACTGTTTAGAAATAATATGATGTTTGGTATCAAAGATTTCCTGCAGATTATTCATTAGTCCATGGAATACAAGTTATTAATTTGGCCATGTGCAAAATTAAAATAGTGTATCATATGATGTAACTTTGTTTTTGTTGTTTGGATTACTGTACTTCAAATTTCTTTAAGTTAAGAGGATAAAAGTTATACGGTATAATTTAATGCATGAGCCACCACAGTATTTTTAAGTATTGTCAACTTCACACTATAATGATCTGTCTGACTCAAAAGGTCCTTTTCATCTTCCTTCTAAATGAATATCTAGTTGGATTATATGGATCAAAGTATATTATAGAAAATCTTCTGCAAACGTAACATGTGTGAAACATCAAGAATGATTTAATAAATTTCCACCTTTTTTTTTAACAACTAACAATTTATTTTTGGTTCACAAGGATAATACATAGGAACGAATTTGTGGAATATAATTGAATTAATGGATATTATTTAGGACGTGGCATGAGTATACTATTTTGCAAGAAAAACTTACTCTTAAACTGATAAGATACCATTTAGAACTGAGTTTTTCAATTTCATAATAACATTTTCCAGTTAATTTGATTTTCCACATATCACACAGAGGATTAATGCATTTTCTTTTAGTAGGCGTGATCCTTAATGAAGAGGATCTCTCCTGCGGCGGCACCAGCCACTCCTCCGCCATACTTGCCAACCGAAGCCTCGCTGTTAGCCTGAAATATTAAAATATATTAGATAAACATTTTTGTACTTAATGTTTTCAGTAATTAACATTACTTTCTGAAAGAATGCATGCAGGCACAAAATTAAGATGTTGAACATTAGTTATAATTGGTGCCAATTCATTGAGAACAGATAATTTATCTTGAACTTTACACAATACAAAATTGTGTAAAGTTCTATTTGAACTATTATGTTTTATATGATATCATGTAATTGATCTTAATTTTACTTATTTTTTCAGTCAATTTTACAAGATTTGTTAACAATTGCAAATTAAAAAAAATTTATACCTTTGCTCTCTTCAAAAATTCTTGCTGTCCTGCTGCCACATTCTCTGGTTTTCCTTCCCATGCCTTCAAAGCACTGGCTTGGAGTGCTCGGCCGTAACTGAAAGTTAGAGCCCAGGGCTTCTTGCCGGNCAATTGGGGACTGGGGTTGGTCGGATAATTGAAAAGTCGGATAACCGAAAAGTATGAAAAAATCCATTATTAATGTAGTAAATTATTATATCCTATGTAATTAGTATATTAGTATATCGCTATTAACCTAATTCGCGTTGAATTTTTATCGATGTTAAGCCTAACAAAAATTTTTTAAAATTATAATCGTCGCTATTGTATCGTTAAAATATAGAAAATTAATCCTCGTATACTGGCTCCCTTTCATGGTCGAATGAGTGTTGCCAGCTAAAACACGTAAAAATAATATTAAAGCAGCCAAGACATAGGCAAATATTGTAGCGCTACATCACTAGCGGACATTTGAAATTTGCCGACTAGAACGGTCGGTTAACCGAGGTGCCGGTTAATCGGGGATCGGATAATCGAGGCTCTACTGTATAAAGATAAAAATTCACAGATTATTTTATAAATGAATATAATTTTTAAAAAGATCTGGAGAAGAAAGTAGGTAGAAACGTAATTTGGACACCTGCAAAATCTGCAATACTCATTTATCCAGTGTATTAGTTTGATAGAACAATAAGTTTACTCGACGTCATCAGAAAGTTATTTGAAAGAAAAAAATCCGCCCGGAACGGGACTCAAATTCGTAATTACCGTTTGCCGTGCGGATGGGTTGCCGATTTCTTCTAGAATAATTTTAAAATATTTATTTATATTATAATTATTAAACTTAATACAAGATGGCGTCTGACGCCTCCGTCTAGGACAAAGTAATTAGTAAGTAAAATTTTAATCGCCGGAAAATAGCACTATCTTATACGGCAGTTGGTTTGGTATTATCCTAGTACATGTGGTCAAATTTCATTAAAAAAAGTTGCATTTTTTTTAGCTTTAAACACGAAAGAAATCATTAAGTAATTCAAAGATAATTTGCGGAAATTTAATAATCTTTATTTTTCACATCGTAAACAGTTCCCAGCTTTGATATTCTTAATTCACATTCGAGTTTATACTTTACATTTACACTTGAAAAAATCGCAGGTTCCTCCTCTATGTCCAGCTTTCTTACAACAAACTTCACATTGACCGTAGTATCCATATTTTGCGCATCTTGATTTGTTGACGCAGCTATCTCTGTCCATTTCCACACCTTAATTGTAAAATAGTAAAAATTATATAAAATTTTAACATAATATCGTTATTGAGTGTAGTTTAAAAATATAAATCGGCTAATAACTTAACACGTTATATCTATATTTTTCCTGATGTAACTATGCAAAAAGAGATATTCATGTATTAAATGAACTGAGAATATCAACCTTATCTTTGACCAGTGCAACAGGACGTTTATGTCGTGACCAGAAGCAATTTCATGAACACATTTTATACAATAACGAGACACTTTTGCTGGAAAGTAAACGTGCAGTTGCTAAAATCGCACAGAATGCTTCACGATTGACTCAAGTTTTGATTTACACTAAACAGCTGAATATGGCATTAGGAATGAGCGAGTTCGGACTAGCGATTCTATCTTAATTGCTTTAACCATGACCACTACCGTTTTTCTCAATGAGTTCTTGGAGCAACTGTAGTAAGTTTGGTACTACAGCGATCAGTTCCTTCTCAGTCAGACATGTGTCAGTCGCTAAAACAATGGGTGGGATTACCAACGTACAGGACAATGTGATTTTGCCGAATGGCCACTACGTTTCCCAGAATTAACTCTGCTATGCTTTTTTTCCTCGGGGTGAGATAAATTCCTCACTTTACAATGCATACCCAGTAACGCTGTGTAATATTGGCCAGCTGGAAGGGTAAATATGGAGGCTGTAGGTTTGCTAAGTGTCACCCGTAATACACATAACACCCGAATTATTGGGCAATTTGAATACTAAAACCACTTCAGCGTGTAAATCAATTATCTAAATCTCATTTGCAAAATTAATACTTAAAAATTCTCACCCATTATCATGACAGAAGCGATGATCAAGATCACGATCAAAACTTTCATTGCCGTCTTAAATTGTCTCTTCAAATTTTAATTAAAGAGAAACAACGTTAGTTAAGATACTCCGATTTTGGCATATTTATATTTAACTTTATGAAATATTCTCTTTTCTCATTGGTGTATTTTCACATGTGTTGATTCACGTTATGTGTAATTTTCGATATTTTATGGACGGTAATAAAATATAACGAATTTCCTAATGTTCGAGGACGATTAATATTTATGTTATTNCTCTATGAGCAAAGAGGTTGGTGCACTTTAGATTTCTTTCACATTAAAAAAAACTACATTCTCCTCTGAAAGAATCAAAAATAAAAAAAATTGGCTCCAGAATTCATTCTTCAGACGACAAATGCTCTTGATGATTATATAAAAAGTTATAAATTTATAGAATCAATTTTATTAAATTTAATCCAGATCTAATTTCTTCATTTATAGTTTTAAATATCCATATAAACTTTATTAATATGGAATTAGTAAAATGTTAATCTTGTTTTATGCTTGATATTAAAGTCTCTTCTTATTTACTGAATTTTAAGAGAACAAAAATCAAGCAATTCATTAAAACTGACTTAAATAGAAAGCTTTTAATATATTTTGCAGTTATCAAGTACAGCTTTGGAAAAACTATAGAAAGAAAATTGAAAAGAAAGAATAGAATGTGCAGCATTCTTGTTTTATTTATTCTTTAAGATTGATTTGTTTACTTTTGATATTTTCCTTATGAATATTTGAATAATTTCTTTCAAATGAAAGATTTTATATTTGAGACAATTTCATTTAAAACTTCTAGGCTTAATATAATTAACAAAGAAGGAAGATTTTTTTTTCGTAAAGTACAGAAGAGCAAAACCTTTCCTTTTGACTGAATCACAGGAAATTTAACAGAAATATGCAATTGATTTTTTGTAACATACCATAAGCTTATAATAATTCTTCTGTTATATATATGATTGTAAACTATATTCAGTCTTTTCACAACTAATTTGAAAAGCTCATTTTAACATGTAAATGTAATAAACAGCGAAAAAAAAAAGAATTTTCCATGATCCAATTATCTTTTAATTCATCATAAATTCGTTAATTTTTAAAATATATTAATGAAAAAGCTATCAATAATTTTCTATCTAATTAACATTTTGAAGATTATTCTTANGCTCTTGCCCGACTTATTGGATTGTTGTAAGAACGATTTATGTATATTATTAAACGGTTATATATGGTAAACCTGTCTCGGTGAGTCATTCCGCACCCACACGACAGTAGTGATCGCTCGGCTGTCGAAAACACCTCACTCCTAATCGGCTGACCTCACATTAATAATTCGAAAGTTAAAGCCCAGGGCTTCTTGCCGGGATGTTTGTTGATGGCATCGAGATTAACAGATGCTTCCTCTTCCGACTGACCACCAGATAAGAAAGTGATGCCTGTCCATAGAAAAAAAAATTCCTTTTAAAAGCAAGAATAAACATTACATGTCTATTCTATATATGGTTTCAATCTGTATCTAAAGAATTACATTTTCAAGTTTACAAAATGTTTTGCAACTTTTTAAATGGTACTAAAAATTAAATTTTAAATATCAAAATATAGCTGGTTTTGCAACTCTTGGCTTGGATGTAAAAATGCACCATAATAGGGATCAATCTTCCTTAATGAAGGTAACAGATTAATGAATCTTTGACAAGATCACTGCATTAAGCAACGCAACACTACATGATTGTGTGATCAATAATGAATTTGGCCAACATTGGTTTTCTAAAGCGCTGAAAAACAACTTGTTGCAACAAACACCCAATCAGCAACTGTCTCAGATGGTACTAGTGCCAACTTTTGTGAAGTGAGAAAGTGACATCCGTCATCTCATTCCTTTTATTTCTTTCTTTCTTCATTTTTGACAATAAAAAAGCAACTAGCAGCACCTCTTTTTTTTTATCTGGCTGACAATGATTGGCAGCCATTTTTGTCTGAAAATGCAGTATTACATGACTGATTGCTGGAAGATGATGATGATGATGTTGCCTAGTGTTCATCCTCTCCACAAACATTGTCATGCAACAAATCCATCTGCCAACCATGGTCAGCCAGGTAAATCAAATAGTGCTTGCCTTGCTTTACTAAAAAGAGGCTCCTGAACTTTTTAAAACCGAGTGCTGTTCATCACCTGGCCAAGATATGTGAAATAATTAGTAGTGTCTGATTTTCTTCTTAACTTATAGAACAAGTATTATTTAACAAAATCTGTTTACTCTAAATATAAAAATATTTAGAAAGTACATAATTACCAGGAACAGCAGCTGGAACAGTCCTTTGTAATGCAGTAACCGTGGCTTCGGCAATCTGTTGGGGTGTGTATTTGGTTTTGCAACTCTGGCCAGCAGTTACCATGTTTGGTTTCAGGAGGGTACCTTCAAGGTAAACATGATGATCATTTAGTGCCTTGTAAACTGCTGCCAAGACAGTTTCCGTCACCTTTTGTGCCCTGTCAAGATCGTGATCACCATCTGGGAGAACTTCGGGCTCGACAATAGGAACGTTCTATTCTAAAAATCATAAAGAATACAGAGAGAGAAACCATTGATATTTTATGGGTCAATTGTAAAATTGTTATATAAAAATTTTAAATTTCTATATTGTCACAATTCTTGTTAAATTTAATAATTACAAATAATTCAATTTTAGAATATTCTGGAAGAAAAGAAAGATTGGCCCAGAGCAGGATTCTGACCTGTAACTCCCGCTTACCATGCAGACACATTATCAGTTACACTACTTGGACCTCCATCCAATTAATTTCCAGATTAATTATGCTTGCAATCTGGTTATATCTATATTAGTTAATTATAAATAGAAGCAATGATCATTAGAATGAAGGTGAAGAATAGGTTAACAATAACAAAATTTATGTTGAATATTCAGTAAGGATTTTATAAATTCACACACTAATTTATTTTGTTAGAATAGTATTCACTTTCATAACAGTTTGCAATCAACTCTCTTTTTTATGATGGGAAAGTGAAGAAATGACTTCAAAATGACAGTGTATATTATACTGACAAAATAAGAATCTTTTATACCTACTAAAAGTGCATTAAGATTTTATATTAAATTTTAAACATTAATATTTGGATAATAATTATAGTAATGTTTCCATATTGTTGGAAACATCAATATTAACATTAATCAGTGGGAAGTAATTATCAATATACTATTTATTGAAGATGTAGATTAAATTTATCTATTTGGCATTTGCTTTCAATATCTAATTAGTCAGTTCATAAAAACTGTCTAGAAAGTATTTTATTTTCTTTAAAATATTGAAATAGGTTATTAAAAAAATTCAATAAGAAAAGTTAACATCCATTATTCCTTCTAAGATTATGAAATTGTGCAGTATCTAATAGTGCACTAGAAGAATAAAAATTATGCAACAATTCCAACAAGTTCAAAAAATATTTATATGAACTTATAATAAACTAGTTCTCTCTTTATCAATGTTTCCTTTAAGCTGCACAGCTGCTGACTACTTGTATACCTGAGTCAGTCTGAGCAGCAGTTGGATTGCCTGGAGCAATCAATTGCTGCTCACAAGACATGACTTAAGCCTGAGAAGTAGATGCATAAGTAAATTAACACACATGTTCAAGTTTATTAGTGAATAATATCAATTTATGAATGTTGAATAATATATTTTTGAAATGACTCAATTATTTTAAATTATAAAATATTAATAATTGATAAGTATATGTGAATGCATGTGAGCGTGTCATCTTATATAATAAATTTTTCAAAAATATTTACCATTTGGCAAATGGATGCATAGCGAGCCAAAACATTAGCGTTTTCTAAGATAGAGAGAGCAGAAGGTTCGCGGTCTCTAATCTTCAATACACATCTCCATTTAGCAAAGTGGCAACCTTTAGCTTTGTATTCTTGGCATCTTGTAGCCAAATCATCCAATCCTGTAAGTTTAATTTAATTTAGAAAAAAACAAGTTTCATAAATTCTCCTAAGACAAATTATTAGAAAGGATTTCCACAATATACCTTGGGTGGTGCATTCTTCTGTTGTTCCCATCAATGGTACAACACCTTTGTCGACTTTAATTCCTGGAATAATACCGCGATTCTCTAAAATTTTAACAAATGGTGTTCCGTCGTCGGCATTCTGGAAAAGGGTTTTGTGAAATAAGATCATGCCTCTTATGGCTTCGGTCATTGCTGCCTTGTCAGAGGTAAATAACAGCTGACGGTAAGCACGCCTGTTGTCCTCTGTGTTGTCTACGCCAATTCCTTGCAAACGCTTACCCATGGTTGCTATATAAAATGTAAATTTAAATTAATATTATAGTTTTTAAATTAAATCTCTTAATAATCTGTTATGTCTCCTTACTCACCAGTACTTTCATCAGCTGCTAAAATACCCTTTCCAGGTGCAACAATGTTGTTGGCAATCTTCTTCAATTCATCTTGCAGTTCTTTAGGAGGGTATTGGAAATATCCAGCCATTTTGATTTATTTGAAGTGGTTTTTTTTATACTAAATATAAAAATGAAGTCTTTAGACCTTGATACATTTTTATACAAATTAAAAATGCAACCAAACTTAAATGGTTGTAACATCAATTACAAGTTTCTCCTCTTAATGCTAGAAAAAATAATGTACACACCTTTCAGATTCTCAAACAAATACAATAAAAAAAATCTAGAATAAGATTAGCATTAAATCCTCTACCATTATGGTATAATTATTACCATACTTGTAATGATATGCAATGTATTCATGATATTTGATTCAAAATGTTAGATTTACAGTGTATGCTAAGTCACTGTTTAATATTTCAGATGCGAGATAGAATAAATATAAAATAAATTCAGATNTGATGCTGAGAAAAACGTTTATTTAAAGAAACATTAATGTTCTTGACCTAATATGATAGGCCATTTCCAGATGCAAGTATTCTCAAGCGTATTTAATTTAATATTTAAACGTCAGAACGTTCGAATACATTTATGTTAAAATCAAAATTATTTAATTTTGTAAGAAGCAAGGCCAAATAGTCGAGCAGTTAGATTGGCAGCCTACCACTCTAGGGGACCATGGATCAAATCTGGATGGGTTGAAAGTACTGTACATAATATAAATAAATATTTGGATCATTAAAACTGATATTTTCTTTTTGAATGAGAAATATATTTTCTAAATTTATAAATTTCTGTATTATTTTTGAAATATAATTTACAGCAACTTTTATTTTGTTATACTTAAAATATTTTAAAGTTCATGTTATAAGTTAAATAATAATAATATGGTATAATGAGTATTTGTAAATTAGATGTATCTATTTTTTTAATTCTCTCTGCTCATGTGCTCTTTTTTAGTAAGTCTAGTCAGACCACCCCTGAAAAATTCCTGCAGTTTTTGATCCTGGGTCCTCCAGAGCAGTAGACTATGCCCCTTAACTGTTCAGCCATTGACTGTCATAAATTAATATAAGATCATATAAGTTATAGTTATATAGCAAGTTACAAAAAAAGGGATTATAATTCTTTCAATTTTTAGTATTTATGATATCCACTCAATTTAGGTTAACAGCTTTTTCCTATTACAAGAGAGAATTAATTCTTTTATCTGAAAAATTTTCTATTT